AGTCTATGGTGGGCTCTGCAGGGTCACCCTCAGGTGAGCTATGTGGGCTCTTCAAGGGGTGTAACTAGAAATCACAGGGCCCCATACAAAATTTTGCTATGGGGCCCTGTGATTTCTAGTTACGCCCCTGCCTCTGACCATAACCCTCCCCGCCCCCACGGGCACGTGCAGGATCACTTTCGTATTATGGTATTTTCGGAGTGCCCTGTTCACACCACAACTGAGAAGAGACAAAAAAAGGTTTGGTAAATGAACCATAACACAACGCAACTGAAAGGAAAATCAACCCACAAAAGGGAAAAGGAAGTGAAAACATTAGCTATATGGAAGAATGCATGAAAAAAATGCACATCAACGAGGTGCATAAAAACGTACTGACACCTAGGCTTTTGTCGCTCAAAGGTAAGCGTAGCAAAACGCTCAAGACAAGGAATCCCATTGATTTCTATGGCTGCTGTTCACACCTGAGTGTTTTGTCACAAGCAGAAAACCGCTGAACACTGGAAAAGGTACACGAGCTACTTTTTGCCAGTTTACAGAACTTTTTGATCCCATAGACTTCAATGGGAAACTTTGTGTAACAAAACGCCCAGGTGTGAACAGAGGCCATAGAAATTAATGGAATTCATCATCTTGAGCGTTTTGTCTCGCTTACCTTTGAGCCACAAAACGCCTAAGTGTGAACGAAGCCTTACATTAAAATGCATGTAAACACGTATCAATGCACGCAGGGTTGCCACCTGTCCAGAGTTCACCCGGACAGTCCGGGTTTTGAATCCTGTGTCCGGGTTTCAGCTGCCATGAAACCCGGGCACATCATTCAAAAGATGTCAGACAGAAAGGGGCAACCAAAATTAATATAGGGGCTACTGGCCTCCCACTGAAAACAGTCTGGACTGTGATATTTAGGTATGAATAAGCCACGGCTCATTCTCCCTAAAAAATATCCATGCGTCGCTAGAGTGTTCGGGTTTCACTGGAAGAAAAGGTGGCAACCCTAAATGCATGTCAACTTACTTGCGTCTTGTCATGGGTTTTTATGCACGTTATGGTGTACATGAGCCCTGATGGTGTACAGTCTTACATTTTCCGCTAAGTAACGAGTGACAAGTAACCCTGTGTTCATTTTGCACACCCAGTTATGTCCAGAAATGAAAACAATAAGGGATTTCCTTTGCACATGGCGGCATAGGTCACTCAGTTAAGTGATAAATATACCTTAAATATATTCCCTTTAGAAAAGCGGCCCTACTGGGCGCAATCTTCAGCAACCAATCGCAGGAATCCACAACTACGTACAGCAATTTTCAGTCTGAAGCTGAAATACCCCCCCTCCCCCTCATCACCAATGTCATCATCTGATATACTCAAATGACAGGGGAGAAACGGTAGTATAAAATGACACATATCTGCAAGAAAACATGCCTACAGCAAGGGGACTGCAAGTTATGATATCTTTTGCAAGTTGTCAGTGCAGCTCAGCAGTGAGATAGTTAAGCTGATGACTTTCTAGCCCCTCCCATTGGGGGAGGAGCCTAAAGGTTGTGTGCTTGAGCTTTTATAGCATGCAGTGAGAGTGTGCAGGATCTTTTCACAGTGACAATGGCACCCAAAAACATTGTCATCTTTGGGGCCACTGGAATGACTGGTCAGGTGACCCTGGCACATGCCCTGGATGAAGGTAATTATAATCCCTTTTATTATTAGCAGGCAGGATGTCAGTGTTAGCTGTCACACTGCTGTGCAATAGGCAGAAAGAATGCTAACACTCCTTCTGTTTCATGCATGCAAAAAAGTGGGGCCAGGTCTCTGTTATAATTGCAGGTGCATGTGCACAAGGGGGACACTAAAAATTGTATCTGATTTTGGTGCTGATTCTATCAAATGAGATGTCAGTTACATGTCCTGTTTTGATCATAAGTTTGCAAGGTTTAAGTCTTGTCCTTATGACAGCATTTTCTCTGTGTGACCTCGTGCACGGTCTTCTTGTAAAATTGGGTGACTTTCCCCTTTCCTGCAGTTGGTTGCAACATATGAATTGTCTCATGTAAGTATCTGCACAATTTCCTGATTTTATTATTATTATTATTATACAGGAATTGTATAGCGCCAGTTTGCACAGCGCTTACAAAATAAAGGGAGAGAGTACAGGTACAATACAATACAATGCAATTCAATACTCACGAGAGCTCGAGTTATTTGAATTTCCTAATGCCTTTGTACAAAAAAGCACCAAACAAAGAAAGAGGCTCATTGTTAGGATTTAAAGAAGGACTCCGGAATTTGACCAAATTAAGCCTTGCAGTGGAGCTGCCCCCACACTGCAAGGGTTAACTGCTCATTTTGGTCTGTGATGAATAAAGAAAATATATTCACCTGGTTGCTAAATGTCCCTGCAGCCTCTTCTCCCTCGGGCTCCAGCGATCTAAGGACACGTGACGTCATCACCTTTAATGCAGGTCCATTAGGAGTGAGGATGCCGTGGGACATTCTATCGCCGGAGGGGGAGAGAGGTGAGTGGTCACTGCCACAGGACTGAGTATATCTTCTTTATTTTTGGCCCTGAACCAAATGAGCACTTAACCCTTGCAGTGCGGAGGTAGCCCCTATTGCAAGGGTGAGTTTGAGGAAAAACTGGAGTTCTTCTTTAACTCCTGATTGATCAAGAATGTTGGCTTCCGATCAATAATGTTACAGGTAAGGAACACTGAGTAAAGCCCATCTCCAGGCAAAGAAAAAACGTACCCTTGCAGTGGGGCTACCCCCGCGCTGCAAGGGTTAAAGGAGAACTATGGGGTTAAGGCTTTTCCCCATAGTTCTCCTTAGGGTAACGGGAGGACACAAACTAGCGTCCTCCCGTTACCCTAACCTCAGTATACCGCGAGCTACAGCTCACGGTATACTGAGACGCCGCAGCTGAAGCGGATCCCGACAATTATGTCTGTATCCGCCCAGCTGCCTGAGTGACAGCTGGCTCTGCCTATCTAGAGGTCTATATACACAAGCAGCCTGATCGCTAATAATGGCTGTATTATGGTATATAATTGGATAAGACCTGTACAACAAACCGGTTATTATCTTATATTGTTGTATTATGGTGTATAATGCACTGTGCCACAGATAGGCTAACCCTTATATACACAAACAGGGGGATCGCTAATAATAGCTGTATTATGGTGTATAATGCACTGTGCCACAGATAGGATAACCCCTATATACACAAACAGGGTGAACGCTAATAATAGCTGTATTATGGTGTATAATGCACTGTGCCACAGATAGGATAACCCCTATATACACAAACAGGGTGAACGCTAATAATAGCTGTATTATGGTGTATAATGCACTGTGCCACAGATAGGATAACCCCTATATACACAAACAGGGTGAACGCTAATAATAGCTGTATTATGGTGTATAATGCACTGTGCCACAGATAGGATAACCCCTATATACACAAACAGGGTGAACGCTAATAATAGCTGTATTATGGTGTATAATGCACTGTGCCACAGATAGGATAACCCCTATATACACAAACAGGGTGAACGCTAATAATAGCTGTATTATGGTGTATAATGCACTGTACCACAGATAGGATAACCCCTATACACACAAACAGGGTGATAGCTAATAATAGCTGTATTATGGTGTATAATGCACTGTGCCACAGATAGGATAACCCCTATATACACAAACAGGGTGATCGCTAATAATGGCTGTATTATGGTGTATAATGCACTGTACCACAGATAGGATAACCCCTATATACACAAACAGGGGGATCGCTAATAATGGCTGTATTATGGTGTATAATGCACCGTACCATTGACAGAATGAGGTCAATATACATAAACAGGCTAATTGCTAATAATGTATTATGATATCTAATAACATAAGTATTAACAATACAATTATAATGCTGTAGAATACAGTGCATCAAAGGTGGGACCTATATGATAATGGCTGTTCTATGGCACATGTAATTGGGACCTGTTGCAGAAAGTAAAGACAGCTTGTATCTCACTGGCTCATGTATGTAATGCCTTTTACTTTTCATTTCCTCTATTGTTTGCACATGGAATGGCTCCATTATATAATATCTGGAGAACACAGCTCTTCTACAATTTGCATGCAGCACAAAACCCCTTGCACACACTACAGACCCCTATGCAGCCATTGTGATATGACCTAATCCCCTGCTGTCATGTTTTATGTGTTTGTGTGCTTCCACACCAGAACATGTACATACTGTGCACATACAGTTTCCATGAGAGCCGTGTATTTCCCTGTACACCTATCAGAGTGCTGAGTCATGACCCCTTCCATATGTTTACCAGTGATAAGGCAACATGTCTCTATTTCTTCATCACGCCTGCCAAAAATGCTGATAGTAACTGTTTTCTGTCCAGGCAACAAAATCCAACGCAGGCAGAAATGAAAAAGGAACTTGGATATATATGTGAAATAGATCCACGTAATGTAAACAGCCTTCTCAGTGTCTTATTGCATGAAAATAATTGTATAACGTCTATACATAGGGCTGCCCTTTTCAATTTGCCTGGCTCTCTTCTGTTTGAAAACAACATGCACTCTCCTGTAATGATTGTTATTCCGAGAGCATGTGACCCAGCCTGCCTAGGCAGCAACCTCTGAAAAAGCATGGCAAGAAAGAAGAAGTTGTTTGAGGGCTTGTTCACACCATATTCAGTGCGTTCCAGCGCGGTTAGCTGCCGGAACACACTGTATCTCATCCCGGCCAGTGTTCTGTCGAAAATGCCAACTCGTCGAGATCTCCGACTGGTTACGTCACGTGCGGTGACTTGCCAGTAACAGATTTAAAGCAGACGGCGCTAGTGCGCGTGTGCCAGCCATGCCAGTGTTTTTTTTACTCTTAACTTTATTGCTATCACATAGGGTTAACAAACCCCCTATGTAATAGCAAATATGATGTGACAGGTCCTCTTTATGGAGACATCAGAGGTCTGTTAGACCCCTAATGTCACCTAGGGACCCCAAAGAAGCTGATGAAGCAGATATGTGCTTCACCAGCTTTTTCTCCTGGCTCTAAGAGCCAGAGAATGTGCACAGTGACACCGGAAGTGATGTAATACACATCACTTCTGGGTCCAGTAATCTGAGGAATGATCAGCAGCTAGCAGCTTGCTGATCTCCCTCTAATCGATGCAGGGAGACCCACCGTGCCAGTCCCGGGCCCGCATGGGGGACAGTGGAGCCCGGGGGTAGCCGCCGACAGAGGGGGGGGGGGCACACACTGCTGCTCGGTACAAATGATCAGGCGGCTGTACAGCTTCAGGATCACTTGTACCTGAACAGCCAAGAACACGGCTGCTGCTGCTGCAGATGTGTTCTTGGTATTACTGTTTCAGGGGGAGGACGTGTATATATACGGGAACCGGTGGTTAAGAATAGAGCAAGTATAGTGCAAGCAATAATTCAAATGTAAAAAAAAATTACATCATGCTGTGCGAATGAGAAACATGTAGCAAATATATTAAATAAATGTATTATAAAATGTTTCAAAGCTTTTTAAAGGAGAACTATGGGGTTAAGGCTTTTCCCCATAGTTCTCCTTAAGGTAGCGGGAGGACACAAACTAGCGGCTTCCCGTCACCCTAGGCTCAGTATACCGCGAGCTGTAGCTCGCGGTATACTGAGACGCCGCAGCTGAAGCGGATCCCGACAATTATGTCTGGATCTGCCCAGCTGCATGACTGACAGCTGGTTCTAGAGGCAGAGCCAGCTGTACCCGCCCCCTCCCCCGTCTGTTCCGCCAGTCAGCGCTGGCGGATCGGAGGGGGGAATCCAGCCCCTCCCTGTCACGGCAGAGAGCCGTGACAGGATCGAGAGGTGAGCGAACGCCGGTATGTGTTCGCTCACCTCCCGATCTACTGAGCCGACCTGTGACAGTCTCATTGTCACAGGTCGGCTAGAACTATGAGGTGAGTGAAAAGCACTCACCTCATAGTTCTCCTTTTAAGAGCTGATTAGATCACTTACAATGCGTCATGCTCCTTGAGGTTTTAAATTTTTTTTTTATTTTTTTTTTTAGCTTCCTGGAGAATCAGCTGGTCCAGGGATCCTGTTTTAGGGTGCTTCTACCGTAAAAAAGGATGTGTGTGTGCTAATAAGCTGTGTGTGCCTCCGAAAACACACAGGTACAACAAGGCAAGCCATTCCCCTGCTGCTCCTTTTTCCCTTCTCTTAGCTAGTAGATGGACAGTTGCATCTTGACACAGGAGACTGCTCTGTCCTTCGTGATCTTGCTCTATACAGGAAGTTCATGGAAGCTGAGCTGAGAGAGTTGGAGCCAGCTGTTTGGAAACATGATGACTTTAAGTGATTGGGCAATATATATATTTTTCATCTGTGTTCACTTTTAAAAAGAAGTTTGAGAGTTTAATACTGCTTTAAATGTTCTGTTTACAGGATACAATGTAACCGTGTTGGTGAGGGACCCTGCTCGCCTCCCCGCTGATAAGAAACCCTCCCGAATTGTAGTTGGGGATGTGCTGAATAAAAGTGACGTCAACAAAGCTGTAGAGGGACAGGATGGTGTGGTGATTGTCCTGGGAACAAGAAGTGACCTAGGTAAGGTTTTCTGAGGCTGCTTCCTCCTACAGGTACAATCTTTCTGACTGTTCTTTCGGTGTATGTTTCAATAGTTCCACTTTTCCACCTTTAGGGCAGGTTCACACCATTTTCCGGACCAGATCTGGTCTGGAAAATGGTGTGAACCTACACGCAGTTCCAGTGCATTCCAGACAAAATGAGACAAGCAGTATTTTTCTGGTCTGGTCTGGAATTACCTGCACTGGTGTGAACAGAGGCCCGAAATAGCACAGGGATACGTTAGGATGCATTTTGGGTCCGGAAACATTCTGGTCTGGTCTGGTGATGATCTGATTTGTGGTGTGAACCTACCCTGGATAGCAGGTATGCTCCCTCTATCAAAAATAAAAATAAAAAAACAATGTTGTCTTCAGTTCCAATTTAAATCTTGCTTACAATAAAGAAAGTACAAACGGAAGTCAATAATATACAACTGTAGCAAATTGTAAGCCTCCATAATGCAGGACTCTAAATAGGACAATTTGTGTTTCTCAATTCAGGCATATGGGGTTCTTTACTTGGTGTAAAATGTTGTCTAACGCAAGCATGGAGTGCACGCTGATGTTCTGAACAGGCTCTAGGCTTCATTAAAGGGTACACAACCCAAAAGTGATGCTTCGCTTTTTAGTAGATGATGGAGATATAAAACCCATGACAATATGTTGGATTTTTTTAAAGGAGAACAATGTGGTTAAGGCTTTTCCCCATAGTTCTCCTTAGGGTAACGGGAGGACACAAACTAGCGTCCTAATTTTTGCCTTTTTAATATCACTTTAAGGATTGTGTTGAGGCCTCTGCTATTTTCCGTTTCTTCACACCTGCTCTACCTGTTGACTTTTATTTTATATTTTTTAAGAATGCAACAGGAGGAGCTGGTAGACGAAACACCCAAAACTCCCAGGTCGACCGGAACAGAGTTGAGAACTATGGCAATGAGTTCTCACTGTTTCAGTACTGAAGATATATGAAAGTCAGGGGCTGACTCAGCCCATCAGATTCCACCTACGTATACCCTGATATATTGCTATTCTGTTGGCTGGCTTTTTAAAGATCACATCATCTAATCTTAGCCAATCTTTGCAAGTATGGCCAGCTTGGGTTTATTCTTTTACATTTATCGTACTTTCTAAGACAGCGGTTCTCAACCAGTGGGTCGCGACCCCAGGCTGCCGTACATCAAAAAAAATAAAAAACGCCATAGGAATGCATAGCTAGATTCCTATTGGCTATTTCACTTTGCAATAGCCAATAGCAAACTAGCTATTGCACCCACCCTCTGCTGCTGCCAATCAGCAGAGGGGACCTGCAGTTCTCCATCAGGTCCTCTTCTAGTGTTTGACAGCAGCAGAGGGCGGGTGCAATAGCTAGTTTGCTATTGGCTATTGCAAAGTGAAATAGGCAATAGGAATCTAGCTATGCATTCCTATGGTGTTTTTTCAATTCTGACGGCGTACGATCTAAGACATTTGTGGCTGAGAAGGGACTGACTGCAGCATCTCTGATTGGCATTAGTCATAAAAATAACTCCATAAATCTATATAATGGTTTAGCTACCTATCTGTGAACTATGTTTAATTGTCCTTCATGACATGCTAACTTTAAATCAAAACTTACTATCCCTTTTTAAAGAAGGATGTTATGGCCCTGAAGAATGCATGTAAAGGTCCTGTACCGGAATCTGAAAATTCCAGGCAGTGTTTGTCCTATTTTTCCAGGTTCAGCTGGTCTGCCAACTAGTAGTGCTAATGGGAGTAAGCATTGGATTGTATTATTGTTGATTTTGACTAATTAATTCAGTCCGTTTGCCTGATATTTCTACTTTTGCATGTATAGATCTCCTTATTAATAAAAGAAAGATGATCTAAGGCTGGGCACAGCGATGGTTGTAAGGTAATTAAAAAAACGTACGATCTGCCTATCTTGGACAGGCAGATCGTACTTGCGATGATCGCAAGCCCGCCCCGCTGAGGGGCGGGCTTCTGATGACCGCAATGTTGAACAGACAGTGTGCGCTTGCGCACACCGGCCCGTCCGGCTTTTATCTTACGAACATGCTACACACCTGCCGAAAATCCTACGATTCTCGGCGGGTTTTCGAACATGTTCCTAAGATAAAAGTCATGCGACCGTACAGTAGCAGAGGTCGCATGGCTCCCACACACCTTACGATAATCGTACGATCGCGGGATTTCCCGCGATTATCGTACGACTATCGTAAGGTGTGTGTGCACCTTAAAGGATATTTAAACCCTCCCGTTTTTTTGCATATATCTACTTCTAGCAAGCAGTAGATATATGCAAAAAGTTTTTTTTAAAACACGCTCAAACAGCAGTTTAGACTCACCTGTGTTCCGTGCGTGGTCCCGTGCGAAAATGAGAAATTTCTCGAGCGGCCGCAAAGGATCTTGGGGCGCGCACAGTTCTCATTTTTACCCCCCCGCCGCACCGCTGGAGAGAAGGCTGAAAACATCAGGAAGGAAGAGGAAGATCGGAAAAAGAGACTTGAGTTAAGGTAAGTGCTAACATTAACATTGGGGGGAGTGAAAAAATGTTGCCTTTAAAAAGAAAGCTCTATCTGTCCCCAAAAAAGGGTATAAAATTAATTTCAGTACAGCGCTGCATGACAGAATAAATGTCAGTCAAAGTACCGCAGCGCTGAATACTGAAAAATGGCCTGGATGGGAAGGGGGTTTAACACCGCGGATGTCAACTGGTTAAGGAAATGCAAAAAACATTGATCGTTCCAGCTGAGATTGGGTGTCATTTAGCTGTGCTTCCACTAGGAGGAGCCATTGTTTAGTTTACATTGTTGCGTCTATAATAATGGAGATCTTTCTTATGCAATCCTATACAGCACCAATAATTGTAGCTGCTTGTATTTGTCATTTATCTAATATGGAGATTTATTGTTAGTTATTAATGATGCACAACTAAAACTGGGGAGCAACAGACTGCTTACAGTACACCTTGCCTTACCAAGAATGTAAAAATAAACTTAAAAACATACAAAAGTAGAGATGGGGACCTTGGCTTGAAAGCTCCTTTATAGCAGGGACTGATCTGAATGTACAGTATGTAAAGCACTGCATAAATTGTCAGCATTATGTATATATGTGTGTGTGTTTATGTATGTACAGTGTGTGCGTGTGTAAAAAAAAAATTGTCATTGTACATACATACAAAGATATCTTTTTTAAAGTCCAGGTTATCATTTCATAAACTTGTCCTTATAGGTCCGACCACAATGATGTCAGAAGGGACTCGGAATATTGTGGAGGCGATGAAAGGGCATGGAATTCGCAAAGTGGTGGGCTGCATGTCTTGTGAGCAATAGACTTAACTTTTTCTGATTATTTAATATTTATATGGATACATTCTGGAATCGGCAGAATGCACACCACACAGATATGCCTTTCTAGACCCCGATGGAATGGGCTCTACTTTGAAAGCTGCCCATAGACCTTCGATTGTGTAGACATTATCTGACCGCCTTAAAACAAACAATCAGAGCACCCTTATACATCTGTATGCTCAGCTTGGCTTACATGTCATGTCCCTGCAGAAGTTTTATAGGATTTTTGTCCCTTCTGGTGACTTGTATCCCACACATTGTTCTGCAGAGGTTTCATAGACTTGAATTGTGAGATTGTTACCCCATTTGGTGACTGTTCAACCAGGTCTATGGGTAGCTTAAAATGCATTTCCTCTTTTGCATTAAAATTTAGGAAAACCCTTCTGTTTTATGTTCCTATTCACACAGCATACCGAAAATTATTTTAAAAATATGGCTTACCTTTGTTAAAGTTTTGTTGCAGCAGGCAACGTGGCTGAATTCAGTTTTTTTTTCTGAGCACCTCCACGGTGATCTGTCCTTCTAGAAAGACTTAAGATGGCCATACACCTATAGATTATCTGCAGATTTTCTATTGTCAGATGGAAAAAGTGCAACAGATTCCTCCATCTACGCTAAACTGTGTGGATGGAGGAATCTCCCACTGGGACGAGCTCCAGTATCTTGCTAGTCTTCCCCGCTGGCTCTCAAAGTACCTGAACAATCTGATTGGATGCAGGCATTGTTTAGGAGCCTTTGTTAGGACAGGTGTGCAAATCTACTTTACAAATGATATGTAACAACCCCCTCACAACCCCCCATAACATTACAAAGACGGAGAAGCAAGTAGAAATTGTAACCCTTAAGAAGCCAAGAAACCCGAGTAAAAGCAATATATATGGAGCAATTTAAGGTTTTTTTTTGTAGTCCATATTGGCCAATCAGATGCTGTCTGCTCAAGAAAAAAACCAACTTAATTATAATTGGTTGTTAAGGGGCAGACATCTGTTTTCACCCACTCATGTTTATATCCACGAGGCTCAATTTCTAATGTTTTTATTCTGACTGTGTTATGCATCAGTGTAAGGGGTACACCACATGCCCTGTAGCTCCCCGTTATTTTATTTATTTCATCAAGAAAAATGTTCTTTGTATCTAAAGCCAAAAAGGAACACTTGAATTTTTCCCGTATATGCTGAATGCTCCCTGGTGCTGGAGGCAGAACGTGTGCTGAGCCAAATGGATCAATACACACAAGCACTAATGGAGCCACTCTAGATAGAAGGCAGGCTGCAGTCTCTGTCTGCAATGAAGCTTCAACTCCTGTTCTCTTAAACAAGTGTGTCGTTCCTGCTAAGAAGCAGAATGAAATTCATAAATGCGCCCCAAAGGCACCCAGACAAGTGATCATCGTATTATCTGGACTTTATCAGTCATTTTGAAAAGCAGCGTCATGTGTTTGGGCGCTATGCCATCTGTAGGGAGACCCCCTGACTGACCAGTGGCAAGAAGAATTGATGGGTTAGTTTAGATTTTGCCATCCAGTTTCTATCATTCCCGTGGAAAAAGTCTTATCGGGTACTAGCATACACTGATCATTAGGAAACTGGGGCCTGCCATGACCATCTATCATCTAGATAAGTGGCCCCGCAGGCCAGATGGGGCCCTTTGCTTGCCTTTATCAGGCTCTTGGGGCACTATTCCTCCCAGTGACATGATGTTGCACTACTTCTCCCACTGACATAAATGACGAGGTATTATTCCATCCACTGACACCAACGAAGGAGTATAATTGCTCCCACTGACACCAAAGATGGGGCACAAATCCAACTGCTGACACATTAGGGCACTGTTCTAACCTCTGATACCAAAGCGATGGGGCCCTGTTCCTTCCACTCCGACAAATTATCAGTAAAGGATGGACACCGGCACTCCAAAGCAAGTTCAATACGTGTTTATAAACGTACTAGTTGCAAGTAGAACACTCTATACAATGTTTCGGGGTCTCACAGGATCCCCTTCATCAGGCAAACAAGTGATCTGAATACCTTAGTCAGGTTGGTGAAATAACGGGGTGCTGATATGGGTAAAGTCAAAATCAGGATACAGTCACTTGTTTGCCTGATGAAGGGGATCCTGTGAGACCCCGAAACATTGTATAGAGTGTTCTACTTGCAACTAGTATGTTAATAAACGCGTACTGAACTTGCTTTGGAGTGCCGGTATCCATCCTTTACTGTTCCTTCCACTGACACTAGTGATGGGACACTTTTCCTCACACTGAAACCAACAATGAAGCCCTATTCCTTCGACTAATTCCAACGATGGGGCATTATTCCTCCCACTGACACCAATAGTGGGGCCCTATTCCTTTCATTGACACCAATGATTGGGCCCTTTTTTCTCCCACTGACACTAACTATGAGGCACTATTGCTCCCACTGTCACTACAGATGAGACTGTTTCCTTCCCCTGAAACCAACAAAGGGCCACTATTTCTTCCACTGACACCGACGATGGAACCCTTTTTCCTTTCACTGACACTGACAAAGGGACACTATTCCTCCCACTGACACTGACAAAGGGACACTATTCCTCCCACTGGCAAAGGGTCACTATTCCTCCCACTGACACCAACAATGATACACTATTCCTCCCACTGACACCAACAATGGGGAACTATTCCTCCTCCCACTGACCGCAAGCACTAGGTAATTTGTTTTTTACTCCTGACAGCCAAACCCTTTTGTTATTTTTTTACTTCCACTGACCACTAAGTCTGTGGATTTGTTTATCCCTACTGACCACTGACGTTGGGGAATTGAACACTCCCACTAGTCACAAATTGGCCCCCCAAGATCTGAATGACAGTGAAGTGACCCTTTGTTTAGAAAGTTTTGGACCCCTGGTCTAGCACAACTTTAGTTTGTGATTTGCCTAAACTACACTATTCAGCCGATATAAGCCTCAACATGCATTGTTTTCCTGTTTTCATTTTCCTTTTTGAGTTCACTAAATGATTCATTACCTGGATCACTGAATCTACTGCATGCATGTTACATATCATTTTTATTTATTTCTTAAGAGAGATATGGGGGGCGTGGCTTGGACATGGCGGCGTGAAGATGCACATTTGAGGAGCTCTGCAGCCCTTCGGCCAACATAGTGGACCCATAGACTTTAATCCTCCCTCTCCGTGCATGTGCTCTGAGCCCACCACCCTCTCCGATCGCTACCCCAGTGTTCCTGAGTGGGACCCCCTCACCTGAACCGATGCCTGGTACCTCACAGCCGGAGACCCACGGACGGGCGGACGGAGACTGGCGCGCTATTCTGCCGCTCCTCCCCATAAAATAGGACCTGGACTCGCTGGCAGACAAGATAGTACTTGCCATGCGCCAGGAAGTACATGAGGTCAGAAACCAGGTGGCTCCAGTGGAAGGTCGAGTGGAGCTTGTGGAGTCAACCACCTCCTCCCTTCAGGACCGAGTGGCCACCCTGGAATCCTCCTCAGCCCGCCTGCAGCAACAGATGGTGACCACCTGCCTTCAATTAGACGACAGCAAGAACCGCAACAGAAGAAACAACATTCGTCTCAAGGGCATACCTGAAGCCTCGACTGGGATTGATCTGCGCGCGACAGTGTTGGCAATCCTGAACCATTATTTGGGAAAGCCACCTACAGACGCCCTGGAACTGGATCGGGTGCAAGGTATGCGAGGCCCACTGGCGAGTGCCCCACGGGATGTCCTCTGCCACGTTCACTTTTTCTCCATTAAAGAGGAAATCATGAGGAAAGCCTGGGCTATGGGGCCCATGGAATTTGATGGAGCCCAAGTGCCTATAATTCCGGACCTTTCACGCCATACGCTTCGTATGCGCAGAGACCTGAGACCCCTACTAGAGGTGATCCGCACATCCGGGGCCGTCTACCGCTGGGGACACCTAATAGTGAGTAAAGCAGACTCGATCTTTGCCCTACACACCCCTGACCAGCTGCCAACGTTGTTTGAGTTCCTGGAGGCGGATGCCATCCCGATCCCGTCCTGGCTGGACTTTGCTTTGGATCGCCCAACCCAGGTCCCCAGGATGCAACGCCAGCCCCGGTCTTATAGAGGTCGCCAGCGACCATTTTCCCAGTCCCCATTCAGGCCGGCCCGGTCACAGCCTGAAGCCTGAACCATCCCCGACGAGAGACCCCAGCAACCCAGTGTGGACTGATCCATATATCCTTTTTTACCTTTACGAGTATAGGCTATTTACCTATGTTTAACTGTCTTTAATTATTGTGGTGGCGCACATACCTGGCTCCCAGATGGAGGCCCCCCCCCTCCACCGGACCCTTGACTGGGTAATGGACTCCGATACGATCTTGGGGATCCGGGGGGGGGGTGTGTAGATGTCTGATCCGGGATGGCCTGGGACGCCTCGCTGAGGGGTTCGGACAGTCTAGGCTCAAGTTAAGCCACACGTTCACTATATATGGTTACGGATCCACCGACTGGGGGGGGCGGGAGCTCCCTACGGGGGACACGCTTCTTGAAATTTTCTATCTATTTGTGTCACTTAGGATATGGTTAGTACATATGTTGCACGGACAGTTTTGTTTATACTTGTTTATTTTACGCCACTATGTGTGCCGGGGGGGGGCGCATCTCCGCATCTCTTCCCTAAAACTCCAGTGTGTTACGGAGTGCGACC